GGGTTATTATGGATAATTACATTTTTTAACATTGTTGATTTTTAGTAATATTTCTCATCCGAATTAGATTTTTAAGATATAAATTGTTTTCTAACACAATTTATTGAAGAAATGACATCGGTTACTGTAAATGTAGCAGTCCACATTGATTAATTAATTAATGTTATGGACATGTAAAGTGCATGTTATCATCATCATCATTGTTCCAAATTTAATGCTTGAACTTCTTCTTCAGACAACTCTTCTTGCACTTTGTCCACTGATGCAGATACTCGGTTTATGCTTTGCTTACCATGTGTGGCGTCCAAGCTTTGTCCTGATCTCCAAGTTTCATATCAAAATAAGCATTTATAAGTATGAGCCTTGGGACTGGATAGGCACAAGGGTGTATTCACCGCAGATGTAACAGAATACGTCAGGTTTATTTTTGCAAGATCTTCTGGTTGAAGCCATTTAGTTTTTATGCGATATAGAGACTTTTCACTTTACTCTTCCTAAAATGTGAATTAAGTAAATGATGTTTCGCAATTGATGACATCAATCATTAACTTGCAGTCTTAATAAGTAAGTAATTTCATTTATAGAATGTGAAACGAATAAAATATAGATAAAAAATAAAATATGAAATTAAAAAATGCATGTAAACAGAATCGTTAAAAAAAAATCAAGATTTGCCTATAACTCAAAGTTGACTTGATGGAGCAAAACAAAAGAGATTTTTGTATTTAGCTCTTTGAAATATTACTAAGTCAGCTGAAAAAAAACATTTTTTTTTTGTGTTGACAAGTGTAATCTTTGTAATAAAATGCCTCTTTTGTTCTTGTTTTTCCATAACAGCAAGTTGAGGTTGATGGCCAGCAGTGTATGCTTGAAATCCTGGACACGGCTGGAACAGTATGTCTCTAAATGCTTGCATCAAATGGAAATGTTTTTCAGGATAAACGCCAACACGCTGCTGACGCTGTCTCGTCTCTGTTTTTGTTCTGCAGGAACAGTTCACAGCTATGAGGGACCTGTACATGAAGAATGGACAAGGCTTTGCTTTGGTGTACTCCATTACAGCACAGTCAACATTTAACGACCTTCAGGACCTCCGGGAGCAGATCCTGCGAGTAAAAGACACCGAGGATGTAAGTAGGACATAAAAAGACAATAAAAAACATAAAATTTATTGCACATACATGCATTATCTGACTCAGTTATTTGAAATTTTGGGAACAGAAAACAACTGGTGCAGATTAGCCTGGTAAAAACCAGCCCCTTGTCCTAGCTTTGCATCATCAGGGTCTGGACTCGCAGTTATCGAGTAGCGATTTCTTGCTGGAGGCATGGCCTCTGTTGAAGTTTAAAACGATTGGATCTGATTTACCCAATCGCAAACGTTTGGCAGTGACGTATGTAGTGCGCCAGCTCGACCGTGAAGGAAGCTAAGCTAAGAATCTAACTGGAAAATGTGTGCTCTGTAAACAACCATCCCCTACTGGGAAGAGAGAAGTGCTGAGCTGAACGAGATGGCTGTAAATGAGAGCTGCAGGCTTTGTGAAACAACTTTAACTTAATTTGGAAGCCTTGGCAACATGGGCTTCATTCACTTCCTCTGCTACCATTGCTAACCTACAAGCAGACTAAAGGGCTCGACACACGGGAGGCGACGTCGCTCGCTCTCCATTCATTTCCTATGGAGTCTGTGCGGTGAGGCGACAATCGCTTGCCCTCCTCCAGCTAAGCGACCGGYRAAAATAGTGCATGTGAAATTTCGCGCTCGTACAYGTAGACGTGCACACGCGAGCTTGCGACGCGACATATGAAAGTTGAAAAATGTTCAACTTTTGTCGCTGTCGCTTAGCGTACAACCAATCAGCGAGGGTTTCATTGACTGACCAATGAGAGGAGAGTATGCTACACACTGCCGTTAGCTAACACTTTCACCAAGTGATTACTAAAAAGCTTTGTGGGAATTTATTGGCACCAGGGTGAAGTTTATGGTAAGTTTTTCCTCATAAAACTGTATCTTGATGTGTGTTTGTTTTTCAATATCATTAGCATCGCAAGATTTGTTTAGTTTACACGTCCGTAATGCACACCCGCCTTCAGAGTCAAGAACCAATCACATTTTGTGAAGACAAGCGATCTGAGAGCGCGATTCRCAACGCTGCRATCGCTATCRCGTCCCGTGTGTCGGGTTTCACCCTGGCTGCGATGACAGCCGTTAATCGCTGTAATTTGTCGCTGCCCGTGTGTCGAGCCCTTAAAACGGTGCAAAAAACCGATGTCGTTGTTCAAAACTCCTCTTTCTGTTCACTGATTGGCCCGGTTAAAATTCTACTGGAGAAATCCTTGTCTGAGAGAAATCCCAGACAGAGCAGAGAAGGGAMACTAGAATTGAGCAGAACTGTTGGAGGGCAAGGGCCAGGCTAGGTGCAGACTGACTGAAGTATGAACAAATACACAAACACAGTACTAAATGCATACAAAAAATCAGTTCTTGGGACCAACCTGCACATRGAGCATTCTGAATAATTCTGCACAAACTGATRTCGAGTCAAATGTTAGACAGGGAGCTTTATGACACTGCAGGTAGAACTAATTGTTCATCTTTGTTCACAGTGTCCTGTAGGGCTGGGTATCATGGCCAGTTCCCTAGATCGATTCGATTTCGATTCATAAGGTTCTGAATCGATTAATCTTGATTTGATTTGATTCAGTTCAGTTCAATTCAGTTCTATTCGATCTGCTCTTAAATAATGAAAATGGATCAACTGTGTTGCAAAATACAATTTGACTATTTTTTTCTCTTCACCATAAGGACAGACTTTTAAATTAAACAGTTAAATCTTGAAGGAAAACTGTCACAAGTTTAAAAGGTTTTAAATTAAAAAGGAATTGCAGGTGACAGTGTTGTTGGAGGAATTCATTTTTAAGTAATTAATAATTATTTTGATGAATATAAGAAGTGATGGAATAAGGCTGCAGGAGAAGAGGTGGGCTAATATAAATATACTTCTGCCCACTTCTTTTGAGTGTATGAAAACTGTATATTTGTAATGTTTCTTTTAGCTTCTGTTATGTTCAATATAACTTATTAAACCTTGTTACTTTTACCTTATTAAACAAATAATGCAACAACATTTCATCACTGTGGATTTCATTAAGACATTTCTTACAGTGTAAAAATAATAATATTGGTAACATAACTAAACAATTTTATTAGAATGTGGTCTTTCACACATTTCTACATGTCATGGAGAACAGTTCAGTCAGATGTTTACCGTAGTTTGGTTCGAGTGCCTAACGAGCCGCTCGTTGAAGCCTGCTTCGTTTTTGCTACCACTTAGGAGTGCAAATCTTTGTAAACAAGTCACTGTGGTCTCTGTTATCTTTAAGTTCTGCTGAGAATCGGATGATAATGTGAGTGATTCCTTAGTTTCTTTTGTTTTAATCCAGAGAACTTGTTATCGAAAGCTAATGTTAGCGCTGAACGACAACTGGATGTAAAGATACGGCAAGCCAGGAGTGACAAAATATAGAAACGCATTTCAGACGCACGTACAAGATACCATGGGGAAGAATCAGTCTCATCGAGCTGATGCCCTGGGAATGGATTTTCCCAAATTTAAATGAAATCAATCCAAGATTGATWAAATTGATTATTTTACCCAGCCCAGCAAGCAGTGTTGATTATCATTGTTAAACCTGTTTGTCCACCATGTGGAGGCACCGCTTATAACTGAATTCACCTGAAACTCCTCAGACTGAAGAAGACGAAACGAGACGAAATGTTTCATTAAAGAAGAACCCGTCCAGAGGACCTACTTATTATTATTATTATTATTATTATTATTATTATTATTATTATTATTTATTTTTCTACCTGGATTACTGCGATGCATCAGGACAAGATCAGAGAAATGTTGGTCTTAATGAGTTTTAATTGTAACCCAGGTGTCATTAACATACCTGAATAATCTGAAGAACTTGGAATATACCACATATCAAATATTATTTGAATGTTAGACTAATTGGCGGATAATTCAATAAATACTCAAGTCTTGTTTTTGTTTTACCTTCTTGTCAGTACATGACACTGCACACGAGCGATGAAGTAGCTTGCGTGCACACTTTTTCCATCGTCTGCTAGTCTTGGTATAATCTGGCAGGGTCTCTCTTCAGCCTCACTACCCCTGAGCCATAAATTGAGTCACCGCTGTGGAAGGGAAGTCATGGCTGAGAGGGGAGGCAAAGCTTTTTGACAACGAGGAAATGTCAGACAAGATGTTAGATCATATCTGCGTCTTTCAGTCTTTGTTGTTTCATCTGTAGAGGAAGGATGTGCAGTTTCCTGAATGTACACGACATTTACGCAAAGCAGCTTTCTTGATTTTTTTTTTTTTTTTGGTCTTACATATATTGAATGTATCAGCCGTTAGGTTTACTGTTAACGATGTAGACATTGTGTTATACTTTTGATTTTGCTGCACAAATTTTGTCCAAATACAACAAAATTCCTACTTTAGCAACAATCAATAATGCAAACTCAGCTTTGAGATTTTAAYGCAAGGTTACATATTAAACCCTGTACACTGACATTTCCAACTGCCTCACACTTCTCCAATCTGTCGGCTTCATTTAGCTAATTACAGCCAGACAAATCAGTAAGAGTGGACAGCTGCCAACAGCAGGGAGTTTAAATGAGGCGTCACACAGAATGACTCTTAGGTTGAGTGAAATGACCTGTGAGGTCTTCAGTAAGTATCCTGTTCATCTGCTGCACGGGTTCAGAAGCTTAGTTAACACTGGTTAATTATCACCCTGCTGCCATGAAAGACAGGCAGTCCTTCAGTTGCCTGTGTCTGTGTTTTGAACCACTGGAAAGATTTTAAAAAACTCTCAAATTATTGCATGTTCATTTTCAACTGAGTCAGTCTGGTTGAAGCAAAAACGACCAAAAATGGCTATAACTGAGTCAGTTTTACAGATGTTGAGCTAAAGTTTGGTGTGGTAGTAGCTCTGATTCATCAACACGTACTCTGAACCCGGATTTACACTAGATGCCACTCCGCTGTGCAGAGGTGTGCAGTTCTCAGCTGTTCGTTTGCACCCCAGTTTATACAGCCTCCGCTCAGCTCAGCTSCACTCCGGAGCGACACAGAGGAGGGAGTGTATTCAAGAAGGAGTTTGTGCWATAAATCCAGTGATAAATGTGGAAGTCAGAGCAAAAAAATAATAATTCTGTGAAAGATGAACTCCAAACACAGTTGAAAACATAGATATAAAAGCTTTTGATATCTATGGTTGGAACTGTATTGCTGTCGTGTTTTTGAAACTTCTGATTTCGAAATAAAACCCACATGTATCGTGTGTGTGTGTGTGTGTGTGTGTGTGTGTGTGTGTGTGTGTGTGTGTGTGTGTGTGTGTGTGTGTGTG